GCTTAATGATAATGCTAATTGTTTAAAGCAGCGTGCTCACACACTGTGTGTTTTGTTTTCACGGAATGAGATATCGTGCGCACACCGCCTGAAGGCATTTGTTGAATTAATTTTCAACGGAAGCATTTCGGCTAAGGCTCGTTGTGGATCTTCATTTACAGTGGAGGGAATTAGTTAATGGCCTCAGAAGGACTTTATTCTACCGTTACGGCAGTCAAGTCAAACATATTTTGCCGGCCATCATCGAGGCAAAAGTGCACGATCCTCTCCAGAGATTGGAAACATTATACTAAACTGACCTTTAACTTAACTGACCTTTATTTTGCAGGACAATTTTGATAATATGAGCCAAGATTTTGTGAGGAAAGACATGTAAAGTTCATGGTTCAGTACTCAAAATAGTGTGTGTGTGAAATCCTCAGGGTGCCTGTGCCAAAAGTAACAGTTCATGATCTTGATTCTTCTAATCTAAGATCCTCCAACAAACTGCATTTCACTTCATTTGAACATCATAATAACCAGAAGGATAAATGCTTTCCTCCAACAAAGTTTGGGCTTAATAAGGTTTATTCATGTTTTGAATAAAAAGTATTTTATGCTAATCAAGGCTGCATTTATTTCATCAAAAAAATACAGTGAAACAGTAATATTGTGAACATATATATTTAAAAATGTAATTTATTCCTGTGATGGCAATGCTGAATTGATTATCTACTTATGTGCTTTTTTTTTTTTTTTATTAAACCTTTATTTAACCAGGGATATAGTCACATTGAGATAAGTATCTCATTTACAAGTGAGCCCTGGCCAAAATAGCAGCACACGATATACATACATACATAAAACATAATACACAACACGAACATGTACAAAAAATAATACAAAATTAAATGTTAAGAGCAAGTGCAGACAGATTTGAATGATTTGTTTAAGTGTAGCTTGAACTCACTTATCGAAATAAGTTCTTCTAGTTTCAGTGAACTTTGGATCTCATTCCAAACAGTTGATGCACTATAAGTAAAAGCAGTTTTTCCAAATTCTGTCTTCATTAAAGGAACATTTAAAAGAATATATCTACTTGAACGTAGATTATACCTTTGACTATTAAAAGTTAGTAAACTACTCAAATATTGGGGAAGCTGGCCGACTAATGCCTTATATACAAGTATGAGCCAGTGTTTGTGCCTTCTTATATGAAGTGGAGGCCAACCTACCATCTCATACAACGCACAATGATGAGTGTGATATTTTGAGTTAGTTATAAATCTTAGTGCAGAGTGATAAACAGAATCTACTGATTTTAGGAGAGCTTTAGTGGAATTTCTGTAAAAAACATCTCCATAATCTAGGATAGGTAAGAAGGTAGATTCCACCAACTTTTTCTTAGCCGACTGTGAGAAACATGCACTATTTCGAAAATAAAACCCCAGCTGTAACCTTAACTTAGACAACAGTTGTTTAACATGTAACTTGAATGATAAGTCCTCTTCCAACACAAACCCCAGATATTTATAAGAGGAAACCAGTTCTATAGAGTTACCCTGCAAAGTATAAATAGGTGGTGGAGGAGAATCAGTCTTTTGTTTCCTAGAAAAGACCATGTATTTTATTTTCTTATCATTTAGGACTAATTTTAAAGAAAATAGTTTACGCTGAACTAGTTCAAATGCTTCCTGCAGCTTTAAAATGCAATTTTCAATAGAAGATGCAAAGCAGTAGATAATGGTATCATCGGCATATAAATGGATACTTGCATCTGATAGATTATCACCAAGATTGTTAATATATAATGTAAACAACAGGGGACCCAATATGGACCCCTGTGGCACACCAGATTCGATGGTCAGCTTGTCAGAAAGAGACCCCTTAATTTGCACTCTTTGACTCCTATTCTTCAAATAGTTCCCGATCCAACCCAATGCGGCTCCAGAAAGGCCAATACAATGTAAACGCAACAAAAGAATATCATGATTGACCACATCGAAAGCTTTTGTCAAATCAATAAACATTGCAGCACATGATCTTCCAGTATCTAGGGCGCAAGTAATGTCATTTAAGACTTTCATAGTAGCAGTTACTGTACTATGATTTTTTCTAAAACCGGACTGAAACCTAGATAGAATACTATTTATATTTAAAAATTCCTTTAGCTGTTCGGTGACAATAGATTCAAAAATTTTAGCCACAGCTGATAGCTTCGAAATCGGTCTGTAATTATTTAGAATGGTTGGGTCACCGCCTTTCAGCAGGGGTACAACCAAAGCAGATTTCCAAATATCAGGAACAATATTTTGTTCTAACGATAAATTAAAAATATAGGCTAATGGGCCAGCAATGATCTCGGCAGCCAGTTTCAAAAAATATGGCTCAATTTCATCAGGCCCTGCAGACTTCTTGATGTCTAGATTTTTAAACCTTTTAAGACCTCACTTCTACAAATTGGAGAAAAATTAAAAGTCAGACTATCTGCTCTCCGAGGAGATGGATTTGGTATAACACTTACAGTAGTTTCTTTAAAAATAGAACTTGAAGAAATAAAATGCTTGTTAAAAATATTTACCATAACCATTTTATTATTAATGAGCATATCGTCTGCTAAAATTTGGTCTGGAAAATCATTAGATAATGTGGAGGGACACAGTGATCTGATGGTTTTCCAAAATTTTATGGGATTATTCAGATTTTGTGAGGTTTCTTTTAAATAATATTCAGATTTAGATCTGCGTACAAGAGCTGTGCATTTATTTCTCAATACTCTAAATGCTACCCAATCTCTTTCTGTATCTGAATTCCTCGCAGTGGCCCAAGCCAAATTTCTTTCATGGAGGAGTTCAGATAGTTCATTTGAGAACCATGGATTATCGCGGCCTTTTACTCTGAAAGTCCTAACAGGGGCATGTCTATTCACAATCTTCAAGAACAAAGTGTGAAAATACTGCCATGCAATGGACACATCTGGTATTAAATACAATCTGTCCCAATCAGATGCAAACAACTCGTGTAAAAACCCCTGAATATCAAACAATTTAAAATTTCTTTTAGTAATAGTTCTAGGTTTTACTTTGGGAATTTTACAATTTCTTATAACCGCTATAGTGCAATGATCACTGACATCATCAGGAAAAACTCCTGTATAGGTGTATTTATGGGGTTTATTTGTTAGTATGAGATCTATTAAAGTGGACTTGCTTGGGTTCTTAAGATTCAGCCGTGTTGGTGACTCAATGAGTTGAGTGAAGTTCACAGAATCACAATATGCTTTGAACTGGTCTGAATTTGAGGTCAGCCAATTCCAATTCAAGTCACCCAATAATACAAGATCTTTAGACAGTATGTCGTTTAAGACAGCTAACAGTGAGGTGAGAGCATCACTGATGGCTGCTGGTGGTCTGTAACAACCTACTATACATAGATGACAGTCCTTTCCATATTCCAGATCAATGGCCAGTAATTCAAACTGTTTAGGGAAAGAGACTGATTTAAGAACAGTTACATGATAGTTCGATTTGATGTGCTGATTTGATGATCAAGAAACTTTTCTTATTGTCACAGCTGAAAACAGATTTATATATTTAAAAATATAACATATTTTTGTGGAAACCGTGGTACTTACATTTACGATTCTTTGTTGAGTGGTTCAAAAGTTCAAAGGAATACCATTTATTAATAAATATTAATAAAAAAAAACTACTGACCCCCAAATTTTTAATAGTAGATTATATAAATTAATAATTTACAAGTACAAGTTTGGCTAAAGTGTAACACTTTTATCTAAGTGATTAAATCAGTCCTGGAGACTGGTTTAAAAAAAATAGCGCTAAACATCATAGAAAAGACACCATATGTTTATTGGTTAAATATGCAAATTTAAATGTATGTATTCAGGTGAATACAGCTGTTCTCTATTGTTTCTGACTTATCTATTCAATGTGAATTATGGTGTGTTCTCCATTTTAGTTTTATATTATTTAATCTAAATTGATCAAATGTAATGCTTTCACCCTAATCAAATGCTGCTTTACCGTATAGCTTAGCATTCTTTTAAAGTAGTTTCCCTGAAACCTTTTTTAATTCTAACACCAAAAAAATAAAACGAACCAAAAGTGTTTTTGAGTGTTGAGTGAAGCACTCTTTGAGTGTTTTAGTAAATGTTTAACACTCCTTTTTGAAAGTAGGCCATAATTTGTTCTCCTGAAGGGAGGATGTCGACACCCTTTATCACCATTCCCTGTAGGGTAACTAAATAAAGTATTTGTAACATCTTTAGTTTTGCTGAGATGTATATTTTCTTTAGCTCTGCTAGGCCCTCATAAAGGCCTGAATTGTGGCTTGCTCTGCAGTCTGTTTAAATTGTGTTCAAAGTGCAAAGGCAATCAATAAATCAACCTTGTGTAATGTGTCTAGTTTGCAATTTCTCTTCACCAGAAAGAAATGGTGCCCATCAAATGTTACTGAGCTTTTCTGGAATATTTATTGTACATTTTTGCCCCACCAAAAAAAAAAGAAAAGTTAAATCCCACCAAAACATGTAACTTTCTGAAGAGAGATCACTGTTTAAATAAATGATGTACAATTTATTTATTTTTACATTTACGTTTGCATGCTCTGTGGAAAAGACAATTGATTTCTGAACTATGGCAGTCTGTATTCTTGATCAAGAATATTGTGTATCATTACTAACATTCACTGTTGTAAGATATTTTTTGAAAACACTTTATTTCAATAGTCCGCTTTAGACATTTTACTAACTATTAAAATGTTAAGTCACATTTCAACAATATGTGAACTAACAATCAGAGTCTGCTCACACAATGTTCCCCTACAAGATATTTTTTGCAACTTGCAAGTTCTACTAATCCTAACTCTAACCTAGCAGTCTACAAATTCTCTGAGTGTGAGTTGACATGTAGTTGCAAAGTTACTCATAGATAGTTTGTAGAATGTCTAAAGTGCACATTCGAAATTGGGCTATTAATGTAACTTTGCTTTTTGTTTTACAGTTCCTCCAAAGATTGTGAACCTTTCAAAGGATCTTGTGGTGAACGAAGGCTCCAACGTCACTCTGATGTGCCTGGCTAACGGAAAACCAGAACCTGCCATCGTCTGGAGAATAATATCACCTTCAGGTACGATGCATATCATGCCTTTATGGGCAGAAATATTTAAAGGGATGCTTCACCTCTGGAAATATCAATGTGTATTTAAAATGGATCATTTATGTAGACAAATGGAAATTATCTTTGAATTTGGAGCTTTCTAGATTGAGAAAAGCCAGAAAATGTATTTTTGGCTTATGTGGATGAAAGACAACAACTCCCAGAATGCACTTGCTTCACTGCCCTAGGAGGCCACGCCTACCGGTAACAGAGCGCAGTAGTTAAAGAACAAGTCTAGGCTATTAGTGAGTCTCTGCAATGAGTTTGTGGGATTTCGAGATCGCCCCAAAATGTCCGGGATTTGGCTTTTACATTCTACAGTCGCCATTCATCATGTTAACTGTGGCGAGCGGGGCGAGTAAGGGCCGCGGGAGAACGACGCAAGGCCGGTGGCGTGATTACCGATGAGCGGAAATTTTCTTAGCAATGTTAAAACACATATCAACCAATCACTTGTTTAGCATTCATGTAAACACTACATTCAGATTCACCAATCGGAATGAATTCAGTTAGATTGAAACAAAAGGTGTGCATGTAAACAATGAATGGCGACTGCAGAAAGAAAAAGCTGAATCCCGGACATCGACGGCCGGACATGTCCGGGAAAAAGAGGATGGTGACCCCTACTACTCAGCTTTCTCCACAGAACAATAGCCTGCTAGCTTAGCTTCCAAAACAAGATGGCGTGAGTGAGATCGCCCTCTATGGGCGGATTGAGAACATGCGGGACAGACCCAACTACTGACTGTAGTCTTTAGCCTCTGGACAAAAAATCCTCCGATGACACAAAATTATGATTTTTGCATCATTTTAGACAAAAATTACACAAAATATCTCGTCTCAGGGGGATGTGAGAGTGGAAAGCATAATGCTAAATCCTGAAGTATCCCTTTAACATAATCTCTGAAAAGTAAGCAAATCTCTAGTCAATAGTTTTTGCCTTCAAAATGAAACCACAATCCTCAATATTGGTCCAGTACTGCTGATGTGTTTTCCCATTACCAGGACAGTGCACTTTTTTCATTGATTTAGCAAAATACCGCATCCCACTGACATATTAAGCAGGAGTAAGATAATACATCAGGTGTCTTTTTCACTGAAAGCTGTATTCGTGTTTGTGTGTGTGTACAAGCTGAGTGGTCCGTTTTGCTTATCTTCAGGCCACATGAACAAATCAGCTCCATTTGGGCCTGTCTACAGCTCTGTTCTGCTGTGCACCATTTCACTTAATCAGGGAAAAAAACTGCATTTTAATGCACTATGATTCATGGGGTGCAATTGGACTGCCGTACCTGCTCACGCATGCCTTTTCTTCCTTTGTGTTGTTACAAGGATCAGGTAATTGAAATGTTAATGTGACACAGAAGTGACTGCTCTTTTTTTTTTTTTTTTGAGATAAGTGAAAGAGTTTAAGATAGGATTCCATTATGATACCGTACAGATGTCTTCTAAGAGCTTCAGCTGCATTTAGGGAAAAAATATCAGCTGTCAGAACGGATGTAGTCAAGGTACGCCCGGTTGGACCACAGGATCGACTCACATCATTTAGCAGGTGGACACTGTGTTTATGCACTTCTATTGTCTCCAGATTTTGATCTGGGATAGTTCGCTCCAAAATGTGTACTCTGACTTTGTTTACTCATTCTAATGTATTTCCAAACTTTTCTGAAGATATTTTTTTTAGAAATGTTTACAATTATCTTTGTTGTTTTGAATTTGGACCCCACTGACTTTCATTGTATTGCCAAAACCCATTGAACCGTTCTTCAAAACATACTCCTTTGTGTTCCACTGATAAAAGTAATAAATGTTGGTTTAGAACCAGAACAATAGTGGGGAATTAATGGGAGCCATACACCAGAATGGAGTAGACTGTATGCAAATTGATTAAAACTAAATTCCCAATAGCTTGGCCAAAATTGTTTTAATTAAATATTAGGCAGAAATTTGGAACATGCACTGATGAATTGTTCAAGATGCATTAAAGAAGTAAATAGGGTTAATTGGGATTTTATGGAGATTCAAAAACTTGCAGACTTGGCTCAAATTAGTCTCTGAAATAGTAGACGCCCCATTCTTTTAGAGACTAATTTGAGCCACGTTTGCAAGTTGGTGTTGGTCACATTACACCACTTATAAACACCACGCTTTTGTGCCATTAGTTCAATTTAACACTTTGTTGGCTCGCAGATCTGATTTGCTTTTGTAAACGCGTGCCATAATCTCCAAAGAGCTGGCAACCAGAAATCTTGATGGGGCCGGAATCAGTGGGAAGCTGTCCAAACGATGTGTGAAGCTTAATTAAGACACAGACCCCCCTGCGATAAGATCTTAATATCTCGATAGCACCAGGATTTGTTTCTTGTCAGGGATTTGTTTCTTTTAAAAATTTGTATTAGACGGACGAGAGCCTGTTGATTTGAAGCACACCTGCTCCCTGGAGCATTCACCGCACTACAGTCATTTAGATTTACCGCAGCGTTTCCACATTGTTTCAATAAAGGGCTGAAATAAGTCTGCCAGTCACACTTAGTTCTGTAAGTACACATCTCCGACCTTTAAATGGCACTTCGTTCTAAGCCGCACGGCTCTTTCGCCCGGACTCTGTATAAACCCGAGAGATTTCATGATCCCGCGCCGTATCTTCAGTCTCATATCACTCGCTTGTAAGGTTTTTTTCTTCTAGATTACGATCATAGCAGTCCTTTTCTTATCTAGATCTCAATCTAAAGAGGGCAGCTAGACCTGCTATCATCCATTCTCATTAAAGAAACACATGCAACAATGTTATTTGTGCTTTAATGACTTTCTAGAGTTCACCTTCATGTGTAGAACTTGAAGTCGAAGTGCTCCAAAAGCACTTGCCACCATACATTATAGTTATCCACTTTAACCGCAACGTTTTATTTTGGTCACCATTCTTGGTTGAGAGTAACTGTATATAAATAGGGAAAACGTGGAGGTGTTTGGACACTTCTCGGCTTGGATCTTAATGAGTGAACTGGGCTAGTTAAGTGTTATCAAAGTGTCTCGCGCGATTGAGACAAGAGAGGTAGGCCTATGCATCATCAGTTTAATAGGGAAAAAACGGTGGAAGATCCCTGTAGCCCTCAAACCGTATTCACTTTATAGTACTTAATCCTGTAATTGTGGACAAATGTGGGCAGAGGACTCAGGTGTGATCCTAATTTTTATTTATTATAAATGTTATATCACTATCTTTGATAAAGTTTTGTCTATCCATTTATGGTATTTTTTTTTTAATTTTGGAGGTATTTTTGAATTTATTTACTTCAAAAAGTACCATATTTTCTATGTAAATTATGCTTATTTTTATGTGTTTTTTTTAAACTACATTAAAATATCATTCCAATAAGTTCTTAGAGCTAAAACATAAAGTAAACTGACTTTGCTGTCACCCGGTGTCTTATTTTGGCTTATTTTAGTATGCTCTAAATTACAGTTTTTCCCATTCATTTCTATGGTGCCCATTTTTGAGTTTGTTTGTTGTTGTTGTTGTTTTTCACCCACTTAACATTGTTGAATTGAGTAAAAAAAAAATGGTGTGTGTTCAGGAGGCAAACTTAGGAAAAGTAGCCAAGTCTTGTACCGCTCAGATCAAGGGAAGTATTTTTTAAAAAATAAATCAAAACTATTTTGCCCACATTTGTCCAGAATACGGTTTTAGGGGTTAAAGAAAAGCATTAATTCCAAAACTAGTCATTTTGATCCCCTTCATAAATGTATTCATCATGAATAACTGCCTTCCACATGCAAAGAAACGGATCGTTTATGCTTAAAAGATATTATAAATAGAAGATATGAATGTAATTATCCCCTGATACTGTTTAATAGACATACAGTATTACACACTTGAGTTAATTTGCAGGGCTGTGCGTGGCCTCTCTTTCATGTGATCTGAGCAAAAGCTTATGGTAGGGGAGGGTTGTTTACTTATTTTTTTCCATCTTCAAAAATGGATATTCATATTCACCCATATTTCTCTTTCTGCGTAAAGACCAAGCAGCGTTTCCGTTGCATTGTGGGTATTGGAAGAGTAAACATGTTGTTGTGCTGCTGTATTGTTTTACCTTTGGGTGAGGAACAGGGTCAATAATGTCGCTAATTTATCATTGCTACTGTTTAATCGACTTGAATAAACATTGTTTTTAATGAGCGTCTGTGTCCCAGGAGCTAACGCTCCTATTACATCAGCGTGAATTAGGGTTTTGGCTCAGTGAAGAGCACATTGTGTGGAGCACATTGCTTGAGGTTTTTATTGAGCTGTGATTGCATTAATCCTGTTTATAACCATCTATGTAATGAGGCTGCTGTGTGTTTGGGTTCGGCAGCTCATTTCAGGAACCAAATGATCCTCTGAGCGCTAGCCCTAACTGCTAATACAGTTCTACTCTGCCGATCTCGCTCTCTATTTTTCTTTTGCCCTCCCCTCCTCGGATATATGCTGACTCCGGTTATTTTCCAGGGTTTTTTTTTTTTTTTTTTTTTTTTTGGTGGGGGATGACAGAAACACAGAGTGAAATGAATGCATTTGGATTGGGGTTATAGATTGATATTACTCTGGTCGGGTCTGGTTTATGGTGTTTCTCTCTCCTGAGGAATGGCCTCGGGGGTTTAGAAAGATGTGGATCTGTGAACTACTTTGTGGACCCACAAACTACCCCATGCTAATGCACTCCGCTGTGTGTTTATCTTTCCATTCTAACTCAAGCTTGTATTGTCTCTCTCTCAAGTCGAATACAGCTTGTCGTTCCATCTCGTCTCCATTCAAGAGCCGAATGTACCAAAACACCCAATTTTGCACGTGCATTTAAGCTGAAAAGAATAACGACGACCTAATTAAGATATTTCAGCACATTTAGGAGGTGATTAAACTGGATTGTGGGTGTTGTTTGTATGCCACATACAAATGTACCGCAAACACATTTGCACTCGCTCGCACAAACAAA